ATAATTAGCGGTCATCATTAGATCGTCACCACATTTCAAAATGATGCACTACACTTTCAGGACTAACGTCTTTAGCCGTTGACTGCTAAGTAAAAATCAATCAATTGACTTTTAATACTATCTAAGTAGATAAGAAAAACCCGGATGTATTGAGGTCATCCACTCGTTTGGAGGAATAACGTTAATTATCCTCATTGAGTAGTGTATATACGATGGAAAGAGTGCACTGCTCACAGTTCAACCCTCAGTTACTGCGCATTAAATCATTTATAAAACTTCGCTAAATGAGACTGACAATTCAACATGAGTTGAACAAGTTATAATATTTCACTTTCTGCTTCCTGATAGTAATTCCAACCGGTTTCCTCTTTAGGTTCGTCAAAGAACTTGATGCCTTGATGCAGCCCATTTTATTCTTGCAGTTTGCAGCTAGTGTCGGCTGTTACGGCACAGGAGTAGTGTATATTGTTGCGGTAAGTCTAGTGTTAAGTGAAGTAAAATTTATTTATTATAAGATGGCTCCTTTACCTTAAAAACAAAACAAATAAACTTTGATTATTTGGCCGAACTTCTTTCTAGTGACACAACACGTGATGGTCCAAACGGGCTGGTCGAATATAATTAAATTGGTTTTAATAAAGGCGAAATGCGACGTTTGCCAAAACATTTGACGGATTTGGGAACGTAGCGGTATTTATTTCTTTTTTCTTCAAAGCTGCCGACATTTATATTTACAATTAAACCGAAGTAAAGAAATAAATGAACTAAAATTGCAGCTGAGAAGAAATATCTATTTGTTAGTTTTTCAAGAGATTCGTAAAAAATAAACTTTTTTGACATAAGGCAAATGAACAAACATCCCTAGAACCTCGTGTGCCGAAATAAATGGTCATTAAAACGTAATCAAATAATGGGAATAAACATATATTTAGTTTACGAAGGCAAATCTAAGCATGTGAAGGGAAATTTGGATGGAAAACATTAATTAGACGAACAGTAAGTAAATGACGAACGGAGTAGATGGCAGTTGCTTTGTGTGTAACTGTTTAGTGAAAGGAGAAGAACGTGAGGAGAAGGCCGGTAGGCTTGGCAGGGCACGTATGGTAGATGGAAGTCATGGTCTTTGTATGTCAATGTGGGGTACTATGCTCACTACTGATGGACGTTGGAGGATAAATACGAGATTGACAAGAATTATTATGTTGATCCTGGATGCTGATGACGTGTGGGTGGAGATGTGTAAGGCTGCTTCAGAACTCAGGAAAAGGGAAGTGACAATTTCAACTTTTAGTTTTTGGACATAAAATTATGAGAAGATTAGATTTGTATTGGAGTGCGAGGAAAACATTTGAACATTCATTTATAAATTGAACATTAAAATCATGGTAAAGATCTGCGTAGTGTATAAATATTTTTTGTAATTGTTATAAGTGTTAATGTGATAAGTATTTTATTGTTAACAGGGTATAACATTTTGTGTTTCTATGTTTTTGTGTATATTGTGGTATTAGTCAGGAGAGGCAGCCTCAAGGTAATGGTCAATTGTAAGTAAACAGGGTTGCAATAAACAGGCTGATACTATCAACAGCTACCACTAAGTTGTAAATTTTGATGTTTCATCCGATCGTGACGGCGAGAAAATAACTTACGTAACAAATTCCCAACAATCGATGTCTTGTATAAGAGGAGCTTCGCGATCTCACACCCATAGAAATAAATTTTATTGAACAGGCAACGGTATTCCCTAGGAAATAACTTATGTTAAAGAATAATTGAAAGTTACAGGTAGGTAGAAATAAAGAAACAGTTTCAATTGGCACGTCTATCGGGAGGCGAATATAAAATAGTAATGCATAGATTGTTAATATTGCTTAGATTATTATAGGGATTATGGATCACAGCTGATTGACCGGGTGATGGACGGAAGAGCGGGCCTGATGACCCGAGTTTCGCCACGTAAAAAAAGGCATCAATTCAATTCAATTCAATTGAATAAATGTGCATGACGATCTCGACCTGGATGCCCGTCACTCATCACAGACGAAGAATAAACTGAACGACAACATTTTGGCTGACTGATGCATATCCCTCGACCAGGGTTTCTCGTTTCAGGAAAAGGTAGCTGAAATACGCGGACGGACGAGGAGTATAACTCGAGGATACTGAAGCTCGTACTCAGATAGATAAATATCACAAAAAAATTGGTGGTTATCTAGAGAAGTAAGATATATTTCACTTGGAAAAATACATTTTTTGAAGTATTTTTTTTATTACAGACAAACGATCATTATTTCCTATAGGACCCTCGTATCTATCTACATTATACATGTGTCTCAGAATAAATGCGACAAACTTCTAAGGCAAGTAGCGGGGTAGAACATGATGAGTTTGCCATTTTCTCCTTCTTGTTAGGCAACTTGTTTTACTCAGATGTTCGGCCGATAAACGAATATCTTTGATCGCGTCAGAGAATGGCCTGCCGAACTTTAACGCATAATGGGTTGCCTAGCAATCAGGGGCAAATGTCATATGTGACACTTCGTTGTATAAAATCGTCCATCACATGTTCATTTTGAAAAGGCGTTCATATTCGATACCGCTCTAGATATTTGTAACATTTATTTTGAGACATTCAAATTTTCCCATTTTAGCCCCTCAGATGTGGGCTTAAGCGTGTTAAAGATCATCTCTACGTGAAGTATGAAGCGTCCCGGATTATTATTTTATTTTTAATTTTTAAAATGTAGTAGTTAAGAAACAATATGTAAGAGAATCTACTTGTCACTGACGTCTCGTTTGAACAAAACATCTGCAATTTTCAGGCTCCTCCAGAAACAGCCATTTTGGCAGGAATCATGATAGCTGCTTTGCTTCAACTGGGAATGATCTGTTACTTTGGCGACAACGTTAAGGAACAGGTAGGTGAGCACGCAATGACGCGTACAAGTGAATAAACCCGCCCAATAAATAAATTTCGTGTGATGATCCTTAAAATGTCTGATTAAATTAACAATTCTGGTTGAGAAATGCAAAACACTAGTTTTCATTTCGTTCCAAGCTTGACAAACAACGTTAAATCATCATGCAGTGGTTTTAAATTAATTCATTTTTAGATAACTTCAATTTTTGAATCTTGTATATTTCGATTCCTGAAAATAAAACACGATTTGATCGTTCAATATAAACATAATAAATCCCGAATTCTAAATAGTTCTATATTAACTGTTTCGGAACTAACTCTCACTAAGTTACTACTGGAAAAAGCTGGTGTTAATGTTAAAGAACGCATCTTTGTTATCATGTAGCGAGAAGTATTGGAAGTAATTACTCGAAATTTTTGGAATATCTCTAAAGAGAAAAAGAAGAAACATTTCCTTGTGGAATTTCATTAAAATTTACCATTTTTCTTTTTCCATTTTTCCTTTTCACACGCAGTATATTTTCTTATTTTTGGAGGAATAATTCTTGAATCAGCAAAAATTGCTTGAAGCGACAGAAGTGGTATGGATCATTTCATATTTCTGCAGGCTCATGGTCCACAAGTAAAGTTATAATGTTATGTCTAGTGAATTCTAACAAACATTACAGGAAAGCAAAGTAAAATGGTTTTTCCTTACCATTATAGACGTGTTTTAAAATGGTTCAGTCACATGATTGCAATATACGACTGATTAGTGGCATTAGTGAATTGAATTGAAGTGAATTTTATAATAGAGAATGTGCCAGAATAAATGTTCTTATAAGACTTCAAGGGCAAGTAGAAGGGTCAAAATTGATCACTTTTGCTAATGAACATGTAGTGGGATATTTCATTTAACGTAGTCATGTGCATTTATACATATTCCATTTACCTCTTATTTAATGCACTACCATTTACACTTACCGTCGTACCTCCAGATTGGACAGTTTTGCAATGAAAAGAATAAACATATCCGGGAAAAAGAATTTTAGTTTCCTTTTGAGTTGAACGTATAAACAGTGGGGAAATCAATTATTTAAGATGTTCGATTTGTTATTTACTTTTATTTATTACTCTTCTTTTATAATTATGATTTATCCTGAATTGAACAGAAAACAGAGGAAAGAATATGGAGTCAAAAGGTTTGCTATTTAGCATGACGATAGGTGACGATGTGTAAAACTATTTATACAGACTAAACTAGCAACTTATTTTGCTAAACTATATTTATCAAATTTATAAAATATTACCTTATGTTCATTTCTAGCATTTTGCGTCAATGTAATTGTGTTAAAAAATTATGTTCAACACCCTGAAACTTTTTTGTAAGAAGGAAATAAAAGAAGGAAGGAAAGAAAATAAAATAAAAAACAATATAGCCAGTTGTCCCATGGTAGCAGATTTATTTGCATGTAAAAGATCCTCAAGCCTAAATGACGCCTCTGAGCTAAATTCAAACCGCTTATTTCGTTGCCCAAGAAATACCTCCTTTCTTCGCTAGTGGGTGAAAGAAATGTGCGTGGTCAGGCGGAAGAGCGGACCTGATGGCCCGAGTCTCGCCACGTGAAATAAGGTATCAATTCAATTCAAATTTAAGCTTTCCTGTAGCCAAAAGTTAGTTTCCCTCTTCTATAATTCTACCGACTGCCCGTCTTGATTTTCCCGGCATCCCTAGTCTCATTTATGAAATCGATGTGTAAAAAAATGGATGTTTTTATTCGATGTATTATTAACATTGACGCTTGAAGTCTCAACGTCGATGTTTCTGCTCAACGAGATGTTTTGTGAGCGCTGACGCATCGCATCACCACTGTGCTCAGAGTCTAGCGGTGGCGCAGGCGGCGTACTGCGGTCGCTGGTATCGCAGTCCTCGTGACGTGCAGCACGCTCTGCGCCTGGTCACGCTGCGAAGCCAAAGGGCCACGACGCTGTCCATCGCCGGCGTCCTCGAAGTCTCGCTCGCGACGTACGCAGAGGTGAGCCACTACCAACCTTCCAAACCCAGTCCCCAAAGATAATAACCAACGCCCCTTGCTTTGTCACCAACGACCAACTCCACAAAGGATTATCCATGGAACCCATGGGCAATATCACTTACCTTGCCTCCAACTTTTATTTCTCCACACCATAAATTCCCACATTAAATGCACTTAACCTCTGGCCGAAATCATACCCAACCAATCCGAATTCAAAACAAATTTCCTTTCAATGTTTTCCTGAAAAATTTCGCAGAAATTGATCATTGACAGAGGTGCCTAATTTGGCTATCTCACCCACGTAATATATTAAGCTTAATTTGTAAGTCAGTAATAAGCAACCAAAGCTTGTGAATAGAATAACGTTTTGCTTATCCATGTAAAAAAAATAAAATAAAAAAAAGTGACCCACGCTGCACTTTTGTGCCTCATCTTGTTCGTCGTAATGTTCTTTAAATGTAATTATTGATAAAACCATTCCTAAAAACGTTATGATACGAGTGGTAAAAGCGACATTTTATTTTGCGGAGTAAGAAGAGTTGCGATATGATGTTGCTATACCGAATGTCGCTCTTCTACGAGCAAAATAAAATCACTTTTAGCGCGTGTGTCATACACTACTTTTTTAGATAGCCTTATTGACTTACCTTTTATTTGAATTCAAGTGAATATATCACTTAATGGTACATTAACACCAGTAGTAGCTGATGCGTTCAGATGGAAGAATTTTGTTTCCGTTGTCGCATTCACAAATTTACCTGAACACTGGAGAATCGTCTCACGTTTAGTACTGGAGCTAAAAATTGAAATTTTAGCACGCCATATATGCTGTGAAATAATATCTTTTACAAGAGGCTGACTAAAACTTAATTTTTCTTCACAGGTCCTGCGCCTCTCGTACACCTTCTTCGCCATGATTCGAGAAGTGAGCAATTAAGAAACGGATACGTGTGTGCTTAAAAAGCGTTCAAGTATTGTAGCTAGGGTTCTAACAAAATATGAAAATGTAATGCACTTTTAAAACACATATTTTGTAAATATGAGTAAATATTTATAACTGCAACAGGCATTACAGCAGCAGAAACGTATCACTTATTTTTATATGAACACCATTACCAGACCAGTAGTCCACACAGATTATTGTGTTCAGATTTTAAAGGCTCGTCCAGGTTCTGTACATTTACTTACCAAGTAAAGTTCACACTACCACCTAAAATTGATAGTTATTTTGATGCAAATGATGTTGAAGCCAGGCTTTTTGACTCCTTGCTGGTTTTCTTAATAATTTAACATTTCGTTCTACATGTATCAGATTCTGTAAATTACTATTGTCAAAACATAGAGAAGTGAAAGATGTTACAAGATTTCATTGTACTAATTGAAGTAAAATATTTAGTTCGTGTAGATAACATATGAACTCTGTTGGAAAGAAAGTTCCAACGTTGTTTAATTACAAGCAAGTAGCAAGAATTGCCCGAGAACTCCCATATAACCTCTTGTATGTATGCATGCCAGCTCATGGTAAAGTTACCTAATAGAAACACGTCAAAATTTGATGGTAACTGACGGAGAAGAAAAGTACAGAAGTGACATTTATTGATCTTCACACTTAAAAACTCAGTAGGTTTATTTTCTAACTACAAGCTCGTGCTAGAGGACAAACGACTGCTTACGACAGATCAATTGCAACAAGTAGGGACTGAATTCTATAAAACAGGTTAAAAGAAAACGTGATAACACAGAACTATTCTTTGATATTAAATACAGAAAAAAAGAAGGAAATTAAGACACAAATCTCATCTTCAATAAGGAGGAGTTCCAAATAATATTTAACTTACGCAAGTTTCGAAAACAGAGATCGTAATGAAAAACAGATCTACACTATATTTGTAAATATATATTATTCTGTAGAAGCAAACAATTTGATAGAAATATATTGAGCCATTTTTGAGATAATGTTGGGGCTTCATGTAAACTACCCCTTAAAAATTAAATACATCCATTACAAATTCCGTGACATCTCCTAAATCAATGCAGGAAAAAAAACCTCGTATGTACGGTAAAATGCAACTACGTGTACGATTTAGGCGCCAGTGATGTTCACATATCGTCAGATTGCCACAAAACACTTTCTCGGTTAAAAGGATCCATAAAACGAGGATTCTGTGAGCAATACACATTTGAGAAAGTAATTTACAACTTACCTTGGTATATATCTTACACATACAATCATACTTACCTAGGTTCCAAAATATCTACTTTTGGGTTTAGGTATCTCAAAAAGCGTTGTTCTGTCAAAAAATTGTTACTTTTCCCCTGTAGCATTGCAATACTTTCTTTATTAATCATATTTTATGAGAAAGTAAAAATATAATAAAAAATGTTTTGAAAAGTAATTAAACCATTCATTGAAGAAATATAAAATTTGTATTCCTTCACTCATAATTAACGTGAGACCTTTTCTATTTTTTTAGGGTAGTCCTTTTTGAAACATATTATTCCATTGAACGACTAAGAGGGAAACACGACATTCCATTAAAGAAACAAAAATCGGATTCGAAATGTTTCGTGCACGTGAAAGAGGAAATATAACGTTTGTTTGATCTTTCACCTTGTAAAGGAATATTAGATGAGGATGGACATATGTGGCGGGAGTACATTATTAACCATGCGTCAACACACGACTAAACACAGTGATGAGAAGCGCGGTGTAGTTCTTTCTAGTATTGGAGATACAATTATTTTTTTAGTAAAGAGGGAAAATAATGAAACACAAACACGCGTCCGTGCTTAGAAGCACCACATGCATCTGCACACATTAATCTGTAAAATAAAAACATTTGCTAAATTGATGCGGGAATTGAACTCTGGGGAACAGCTTCACATTCAAATATAGAAATAATTTAAAGATTTCAATCCAAATGTCTCAGATTATTAAACAATGCTCCCTGGTATGTATCAAACGCCACTCTACATAAAGATCTCAATACCACCACTGTTAAAGAGGAAATCACTCTCAAATCTCAAAAATACCAACAGAGACTCGAAAATCATATTAATCATCTGGCCATAAACATCTTAGATAACAGCACAATGACAAGAAGATTGAAAAGAGTACATCCTCTTGATCTGAACCACAGATATAAATAATATTTTTCTTTTAAAATATTTGTTACTGTAGATATGTTTTTTTTGTCACAATGCTTGCACTATTGTATGTTTGTTTGTTATTGTGTTATTGTTATATCAATGTGATGTTGTTTATTGTTGTTCTTGTTTGTTTTGTTTTTCTCTCTGAATTTGACAATTAGTTTAAAACCATTTTTAGATAGAACCAGAATTGGATGGTTTCTTTACATGTCAATAATGTATGTACAATTGTATTTGCCGAATGTTTGAGTAGAACAAATTGCAAATAAAGCAGATGTTAGAAAAAAAATTGATGCGGGAAAAAGAAAACTCATACGTACGGTAAAAAGCAACAACTACGTGTACTATTTGGGCACTAGTGATGTTCATAGACTGTCAAATTGCTGCAAAACAGTTTCTCAGCTAAAAGGATCCACAAAACGATGGTTCTGACTACAATATGTATCATTCATAAAAGCAAATACTTTTATAAATGTTATAGCGGTATATAGTTCAACGCATCCCCTACAGGATGATACGATAAGTTCTGAATAGTTAGATAATCGAGAAAAGCCATACCCCACAAACTGTGATAGAAGGGCCCCAAATATTTTTCACAAAATATTGGAAAAAAACAGGACTTTTAAAATCACAATTTTAGATGTTTTCAGCGATTCTGGCAATCCGTGAATAATGGAACCATGAGAAATGTAATACAACGTTCAAGAAGGTAAAGATACCAAGAAGATATAAAAACATAGCTAGTGTATTTTATATGGGTCACAAAGAACTAGTGTTAAGGTCCTAAATCGCATTATCAGTTATGATCAATAGCAAAGAATGTTGCAGCGTAAAGTGTTTTGCGGACTTCATGGACGCCTGGAAATAAAAAAGACATACGTTACGATTTTCCGTTTATTGACTTAAATATTTTGAAACACCTCAATTAGCTATCAAGTAGTCATTCACCCACGGGGTTTTGTGTACGTGGTATTATTTAAAACAGAATCATCCGTAATCTTTATATAGAGAGAATTATGAATGTACTAAAAATAATACATTACCGTTGTACAAATAAATCGTTTTAAGATATTAACGGCCGGTTTCATCACCAATACATACATTTTTTGAATGATATAAGAATTTTAAGATAGACTTTAGGAGACGTTTCCGTTTCACCATACGTTTTAAGGCGAACTTAAACTATAAGTTCGTCTTCAACTTAAGCATATCTCAGCTGCACTTATCCATTTTAAGTCGTGCTTTACGTCTCAAAAACAGTTAAAATGGCGAGCTTATTGTGGTGTGTTGCTTTTGAAAGGGCTGCGACACTTCTGAGGATTATAGCTTTGAGAAGCATTCTTGGAGGCCGAGGCTTAGATCCGTAAACGGTCCGAATATTTCGAAAAACTCGATGAAAGGGATTTTGACACCTAATTTTGCCTATCAAATACGACAATACTACATGTTTTGGATCTAATTGAAGACAAATTGGAATTTCAAAGTTTACTCGATAGTTAATTATTAACGAATGTTTAAATTTTTTGGTTCATAATTGCCTTGCAAATATCAATTTTGTCTAAGAAATGTTTTGAAGGTTATGTTTACATGATGCCCTATCTATTTTCAATTTCCAAGTTTTACATTCAGTGATTTGTATTACATTTCATTTTTCATCTAAACCTAATCCTCTCCACAACTTTAAATGTTTGTTATATTCCATCTTCAAGCTCGTTGCTTTAAAATTGCGTACAATGTTCCTCCAGTTATTATTTTGTGTCTGTTTGTTGCTCCATTTGCCACTTTAGTTTCTATAAGACAAATGTACTTTCGATTAGCGCTTATTTTTTCTGACGATGAAAATTTCGCAATCCTCTCTCCTTCGGCCTTATTTTTTAAAAATAACCTCTTTTTTACCAGAGGACAAAGCAGAACCAAAACAAACAAGGTTGTTTATGGTCACTGGATGGTCTACCAGGGTCTAGCATTACCACCCAACTCTCTGATACATTTAAGTTATACTTCACTAAGCATTGCTTCGAAGAGGATGGTGAATCGACTATAACCTATTTTTCGGTTGTAGGACCTTAAGCTGGTGCGTCAAATATATTACCTTTCGTGATTGTATGTTATATTACCATTTCTTTTTAAACATGTACAAAACTTATTAACCTTTCTGGAATCTCAGGGATGTGGATTCTCTGTAATAACAGGGCTCTCACATTTATTCAAATCAAACAAGTATACTTTTTAACAAAATATAATCTTCTCTTACCCTTTCTGGCTCATTTACAAATACACAGTACACACATATAACAATTCAATGAAATTTTTCCTGGAAGAAAAAGAACAATCCTTACAAACTACCTTTTACTGCACATTTTCCACTGACTGTTTTCAACAAAGCACGAATTAAGACGCGTCTTAAAATTAAGTATGACTTTGTTAAGTCTCACGTAAAAAATATTGTGAAAACGGCCGTAAGTACCGATTCAAATACATAAGTTTACAGTGATTACTAATTCTTATAACATGTATAAAGTATTTAATAATTATTGAAGCATTGAACACTTGCCTCTTTAATCATTGTCACTTTAGCAATGAAGGCATTCTTCTATTTTTACTTTTTTCATGAATATTTTCTGTCTTGTAGAAACATATTCATGACGTGGTTTGCTTCACTTCCCTAAACTTTTGCTTTTCCAAAATACCTGATGATCTGGATTGGCAATGCAAACGCATCGAACTCAGCAAGCGAGGTCGAGCTCGCTCTTCCTCGCTCGTCATAGCTTTTTGCCCTTTCATTCCCTTTTGCCTTGTCATTGCTTTTGCATCGAATTTTTTTCTCCCTTAAAAATCACCTTTATCGCCCTTAAAAACGTTCATCGGGAAGAGTACCTCTTGCCCGAAATGACCCTGATGACCTCACGTTTCTTACATCTTTATTTTCTACTTCGCACGTGGAAGGACGGTCAACGCTCGCGATGTAAATCCGTGCAATGACCTCTGCCCCCTACTTCCTGTACTCGCCGGCGAACTGAAGACAGGCTCCTTTGAGATGACAGTGCGTACACATTCTTTCAATGGGTTCTGTCCATTATTTTTTAATTTTGTTTTCGGTTATATCTAAATTACAAATTAATAAACGCAGCCACTGTCTAATTAAATTGTAATGTTGCTCGAATTTAATGTCGGAGATTACTAAACTAACTCTCAAACACTGATGTTTGAAACCATCAATTGTTTTTGTTCGACGTATTTTTAACATTATTTTTTAGTATGGAACGTCGATGCTTTGTAATCGATATCGCACCACGAACAGTGCAGTGCACACCACCTTTCCGCCAAACGCTGCCAGTTCCAAGGGCCGCTCCGGGCACAGGCGACGTGAAGGCCCTAGCTACTACGGGCCTGCGGACCTCACTGGCGTTAATGAGTCGAGGGCTGAAGCAAGTGCAGTCAGGGCCCCTAATTTCAGTGGTAATATTGAGGTCGGGAACGTCAGTGAATTCCTAACGGAACTATACCGACGTTTAACATAATAATGATGACGACGACGACGATGATGAGTTTTCATGCGGATACCTATTCGTCGCCGGAGTAATGGACACTGAATAAAGTAACAATGTATTTCCGCACGTCGGTTTAAAACATGGTGAGCCATAGCCTGCTGTCTTTAGCAATACGCTCAAGAGTCATGTGAAAGGAAGTCCAACTTTAAGAAAAATATTCTAGAACATCATCCACAACATTCCACACACACTTGAGACCAAAATTTATGGGAATTCTCTGAAATATCGTATATGTTGACAGTATATTGTTTATCAGACATCCAGGAGTATTAATAATATGGAACTTTCAATAATACAATAATTGTTTTATTTATAATTATTAAAAATAATATAAGTGCAAAATAACAAATATACAAATGTAAAGGTGGCAAATATAAATATTGGATTGAAAATTATGGTGTCTTCATGAGAACGTAAGGTTTTTCCAACAATTTTCTAATTCAGCTTTATTTGAAACTATGCTTGATATTAGACTGCATTCATATTTAAATGATACAGTATTGCTGTGAGGGAATATTTAAATAAGTTTAATTACTTGAATAATAACTTAAGTGTTAAAAAAATTCATGGCTCTTCAGCTGGGTCTGGGCGTCTTTTGGCTATAAAGACACATACTTGTTCATAAGCGCAAAAATTAATTGCCGTCATAGTACCAGCTTTCATAGTACTAGGAACCAGTCCTTTGAAGAGTCCCCTGATCCTTTCTTCTTTGATGGTTTTCGAGAAGCAGTCTATGAAACTAACGCAACGGAAAACCTTGGCAAAGCAAAAAACAATCATGTTATTAGATAAATTATCATGTACAGTGCGTCAAATCTCATATTGTCGATAAGATGACATAACCTCTTAACTCAAAGAAGCGCATTCGAGTTACATTTGCCTGATGTGAAATAAAACGCTCTGCACAAAACACAAGAATCCGCACCTCAATATCTGGCTCTCGATCGCCATAGAAGTGAAGAAACAGACCCTCGTATTTTATGATGTTAAAACACTAAGTTGCATATCAGAAAGTGTTTGTTCTTTCCTGAAAATATTTGATTTTTGATAACGACTTTTTGCCATCTTAACGACGATGTAACACTTCTAGGTATAAGAACTTTTTTGTTCAATCTAGGGTAGTAATTCTAATTTTTTTGTACCACGACTCAGTAATTCTAGAGTTTTTTTGACTCAAGGCAGCGATTCGTACTATGGACGCACTTTGCGGAGAGCGCAGGTTTGTCTCGCGAAAGTTGAGAGGTTCAGAATCGTTACACAATCGTCAATTCACCAACGAGGTTTTGCGTTAATTTATTTTCAAGAAGAAATTATTCGAGATCGCGCCGACCGTCGAAAAATATACGCTAATAAAATGTATAACTTATGATGAAACATATTAGGCAAATGCTGTAAATATGCGACTGTAATTAGAATTTCCAAAACAATTAGCTAATAAGCGGTGAGGAATACTGCTATCTCTCGCGATAAATACATGCACTTCAGTAAAGGGAATAATTACTACAGCAGTTGACGTGCTCGAAAAAATCAATCTATCACACAAATTAATACTATTCAGTTATTTTGGTTTCTGAAGGTTATTGGCTGTAGACCAGTGCTATTTTTGCTTACCTTTCCAAATTTCTTTCTCTCTTCTTCAAAACCTTGAACTTGCATACGTTTGCGTATAAGATCAAAAGGATAAACTACTGTTTTTGTAAATATTCCTGCTAAAGATCCACAAATCAGAGCTCCTTTAACAGGCATAGGTGCAAAAACACTATTTCTAGAATCATCATCACCAACTAAAAAAATACATTAAAATAATATTAATTCATTCAGATGAAAATTTACAAAATATTTTTGTATTACATGTAAACACTACTACAATAGGAATTGAAGACTTGGATACTATATACACTACATTAACAAAAAAAGAGTTCAAAACACTTACTTCCAATTAACAATTACAGTTACCAGTTAACCTACAAATAATATAATGTACTTCTTTAATATTTACAATAATTTACCCAAATACAAGAGCGAAATGGGTTAAAACATTGAAAAAATAAGTATTTCAGTGAGCTAAAACAATTATTATCTAGTAATTGTTAATGAATTAATTGCTATTCTAACTGATTGCTAAACAATCATTGATTCTCCATTACTACTGTCACTGTGAAAAGTAAAGAACATATGAAGTACCCCCAAAAATCGAAATATCTGTTTCATTCAACCGATACCTTCAACTCATAGTTCCTCGAGGGCCTTTACATTGATCGGGAAATAATTTTGAGAAAATCAGCTAAACGGTTTCGGCGCTAGTTTTCATCACAGACACACGGACGGACGGACGGACGGACGGACGGACGGACGGACGGACAGACGGACGGACAAACAAGAGTTTTCGTGTCGAAAATTCCCCATCTTCTCGCACACGATTACAATACTTTATATTCTTACGAGCTAAAGGCCCGAAAGTAAAATGTTTAATGTAAAAATGGCAAGAAACGCGATTGGACCATCTCTTGTTTTAGACTGCATACGTCTGAGGTAACTGTAAGTGAAACTTCAGTTCGAGTTAATAAAATAATTTCATTTTTCTTGCAGACTTTACTGGAATTCATTAAATATGCAGAACGATTTATAAGATTACTATTTTTCTAATAATAAAAATTATTATTCCGTTCTAAAAGTAAATAAATATTTACCAATTTTTCTGTACACATCTTTAATGAATGCATACGATGTGAATGAAGCACCTGTAGCGGGCGCAACTTGAATTAATGTTGGTGTTAAACCTTTAAAGAATGCTGAAGGTCCTTCTTTAGAGTATATTCTTAAAGCTGCTTGAATAAATCCTGTATATATCTGAAAAGGAATAAAAAGTTATATCTGTGGGTTTGACAATACAAACATCTAGAAGAATGTGACGTTGGGGATGTAAACTATTTTAAAATTAGTTTCATGGGTTGAACATTTCTTTCATACTTCTTTTCTTTCATGCCCAGTTTTGTTCAAAAATGTTCTTTCAACGATTCATTGGACATACCAATGAATCGTTGTAGCTGATAACGTTATACTTCCGTTCAAAGGTTCCCAACACCCAATGGCATTGTGTGTTACCTCCATACGAACTGATCTTCTTGCAATTTTAAAATTATAACCACCGAAACAAATACTTACATGTTGTGATGCTAATAGATGAATACAACCACAATTTTACGCTTTTAGGCACAAAAATGCATATTTGCGTTAACACAGATGATCACATTCGACCGAATTTTTTTAGCACAAAAAAAATTAAGATGCTTTCATGATGATAGTTTTCGTAGCAGAAAATATGTCGCTTTTGTCAATAAATCAAACACTCTGAACTTTCTGAGGCTGGGATTGTTAGCACATGCCTTTTTTAAGAAAATTGTAATTTAAGAATAAAGTTCAGTCATTTGTTCAGAATTTATTCTGAAAAATTACTGAAATAGTGATTTTCATTGATAAACAACTGTTTTATAAACTTTATATGGTTTTAATTTGTAATTTATTATCTCAAAGTCCTTCGTAATGCAATATTTTGTTTTTGTTATATGCCAGTATTTTTTGCCTATCCTTTGGTGTCTAGTCAACTTCGGATTGTTTGCTTGACCCTATGAGGAGATACTTATTGCCAAATTGGCAAAGTTAGCATGTTGGCAAACTTAGGTAAGGAATACCTCTGGTTGGCTTCGGTGAAGAATCTTGACTATATAATATTATTTTGAAAGCTTTGCTTTCTTATGGGATAAAATTAATTAATTTCAATTTCATCAGTTTGAAATGTTTGAACGCCAACAACTTCCGTCTATTTATTGACTATTATTTTACGTCCTTGCCTTTGTTAGATGAACTGAAGAAAAGACGAATTTTAGGCACAGGTACTAGAAGAGAAAACCGTATCCAACATTGTCCGATTTTGGACAGCAAACATTTGAAAGAAAAAAAAAGTGAGCGAGGAGCATTCTTGTTATCGTTGGGACAGCGATATAGGTGTTGCTATCTACAAATAGAATTATAATTTGGTGTTTATTATTATTATTATTATTATTATTATTATTATTATTATTATTAAAATAGTATTCCAGTACTTCTCGTTTGCCGCGTGCAGCGCTACTCTCAACCGAAAAAAAATACCAATATCGAGGAGTGAAATGTCACCAAATAATATAACAAGTTTCAGGGAGGTGTAGATCGATATGATGAGAGCATTGGTTTCTCTAGATATTCGATAAAGGAACGAGGTGACACTAATCACTCACTATACATTTTTTAAATTTAAGGTCGCATCAAACACTAGGTCATTAGCGACCACTATTGCGTGTAACGATACGGTAACTATGAGATATAATGATATAATGATAATTGTGTGAAAGGCCGAACACAATACAACCATACTGAGGCGGGACTTGAACCCGCGATCCTCCGGTCTGAGATCACTACTGCACTACTGCCTTAGCGATCTCGGACATCCAGACCGGCTCTATCCAGAGTGCTTAGATACACCGATGCCAAATGTATGACAAATGCACAGATTACAATGCGGCAAACTAGGACAAATAGAATTCAGAAGATCTATTGTAGAGAACATTTTGGAAAGATACAAAAGAATTGGCAAAAGAAGTCCATCCAAAACAAGCTAAATTCTGTAGCTAATTTTTATTTTGTTGGAATAAATCATATGACAATTTATCAGAAATTTCAAGCTAGGTGTGAACACTGCTACAAAAAATGCAGTTCCGTTAAGAAAAGTCTATGTACCTCTTCAGCGAAAACATTGCTTCAAAGACTATTAGACACACACACACACTCCCTCTCCCTCTCTCTCTCTAGTGGTGCACCTACACCATTGTTTTAAAGGTCCTTCAGACTATCCATCAAAAAGTTTCATCAAAAACGATGGAGCTGCTTTTGAGAAAAAAATGATTAAAACAAAAGTTAATAATTGTCTATATTTCACGTAAAAGTACGCGAAAAATACTCAAATTTTCGAAAAATTGTACATGAGCCTATTTTAAATCTATCTTTAAGGAACATGTTTTATTAATTGAAAAATCTCGTCTTTAATATTTTAGTTGTAAAATTGCTTTTATTTCTGAAGGATTCTTTTTAAAACCGATCAGGCTTTCAGGCTTTTACAGGTTTTCATTAATTTACATTGAAAGTACTACTTTACCTTGGGTTCGCCTTGGGCTACAAATCGGGTTCTTATGACATCAAAGGGGAAGGAAAATATCGTTGCAATGAAACCTGCCATTGCTCCACATGCAAACTGCACATATGGATCATGACGAGTTTGGCCAGGAGTATTTCTGGCAATTACTTCAAAAGAAGAAAACTGTGAAAGTTCAAAAACACAATTTACAAAGCGAATAGAATGTGATATTCGAAAAAAAAGCACTAAGTGACAAACAGTTACACCATAATTCTTCATCGTTTTAATTTAATATATTAAATGTGGTAGAGAAAACTGTAATTGAAATAATTGATGTTTAGTCATTTCTATAAATATTTTCTTTTTAACAGGTAGAACAATTTAATACGCTAAAATCTGAACTGCATCACTCTTAGCTCTGTGGATTGTGTGTTGTTCATGTTAGGTGAATAGCAACCATCCTAATTCATTAAACTGCATTATTCTCTTTATTTTTAAATAAATTTAGATGCGTTTAAACAAAAATTAATTGGAATAGTATAAATATTTTTTCCACTGAAACTAAATAGTAACCAATAAGTTGCAAATATTTTGAATTATTGGAAAGTATATTCTGAAATATATACTAGGTATTGTAACCTGGAATGTATAGAATTTTTTCACTTAAAAGTATGCTAAAATCTCCACAAAATCGTGTGATTATCTGATTTATAAAACACTACAATGACATGATTTGTTAATGACAGTTCAAAATTTAAAAAAAATTATAACATAACAAATAACAGTAATGTTTGCCTTGTTAAAGTTTTGAGACATCATACTAGGTGTACGACGTCAGTCTAATAATGGGAAGATTTCATTCATCTTTAAATTACTAAACCAAAAAACCCTAATGACATTTTCATCATTATTGAATTCTCTCTTTATTATTTTAAATTCCTAAAAAATATTTATCTCTTCCATACTCTATAATAGTAAGAATGATTACATGGGTAAAAAAACATTATTATAAGAATAACATACTAATCGCGGTTATAATAGAGAAAATGCACAATTACTAATATATAATTACAGAAAAATAGTTTACAAGTGTAGATAGTGTGCTTTACAAAATGTTTTAAATAATTTTTAGAATACAAAGTGATGGGGAAATGATTATATTTTAGATAAGTTGATAGTGTTGAACGTAATAAGAAATATTTCTCATCAAGAGTATCTTAGTATCAAAGATAATCAGTATTTTGTTTGTAAATTGACGATTTTAAAAAGAAATCGTTACTGTTGAAATGGTTAAAATATCGAATGAGTGATTGCTATTACAAACCTGAGTGAATCCATACACAATAGACAGTAGTTGAGCAGATACATGTCCTTTCCACAAAGCGGTAGCACCTTCTTCCCTCAATATTTTTTTAAAAGCATGGGTGACTCCCTTATAATAGGCGTCTTGTGTGAGTTTATGTATGGGCTCAACTTGCAACTACGAAAATAGGTTATAATAATTATCAATTTTAAATATCGCGGGCGAGCATAAGAAAATACTAGAATTCATTATATACCTGGAATCTGATTTTTACAACATCTAGTGGCTGAGTTAAAAATCTGGAGGTCATTCCACTAAGAGAACCTGCAATTGCGTAATCTGTAGCACCTAATCTCCGCCGTGTTTCATTAGTTATGGGCATTGCGACAGTCACGGAGGAAGAGAATAAAGTTGTTAGAGTCACCAATTCGAGTGCATTTCTACGGTCTACATCATTATAATTATAATAAATTAAAATATGCCTATTTTATTATTTGACAATTTCATTTTGAAAGTCAACAAATGCAGTGACAAAAATTTGGATTGTTGTTTTGTGAATTCGGTTTCATTACGCTAGGCGAATGTCAAATGTTTCAATACCTACTAAATTCACACAAAATATAAAGAAATCGTTGTCTGTGCTTCATGTGTGAGAACAAACTTGAAACAAGAAACATTTTAAAATGAAATAAATTACATGATATCTAGAATGTTATCAATCACATAAATTGGTATTTTGTTAATACTAGAAAATAATGTGGGTGTTCACATGGTAATTCTTTTCCACAGAAATTCATTTATTTATTTATTTGCGTCAAAGACAGGGATAATTGTGTGTGACATGCTATGGGGAGAAGTTAAATAATTGGAGTTACATTTATGTCCAGAAACAAAACAAGGGGTCATCTCAGCATTTGCTGAAGGATCAGGAAAACTGGACGAAAACCTCATTGACCCAGAAGCTGAAGTACAATACTTGTTACAGCTTCTTTAGAATTATACAACCCAAATGGTGAATAATACGCTAAATGCCACTGTTAAAATTAATATTACTTTCCTTTTGGATGCTCGGTATATTCTCTTATTTTATAGAAACAGTTGTGCAGCAGAAAATCATTTACTTAGAGCTTAAACTTTTGTATCGAATTTGATCGTTTAATGTCATCAGGTAAGGTTCCTATATGTGTAGTAAATTATTTCCTCTAACACGTTAGTAGTCAGATCCATCATTTTATTGATATCGAAAAATCTGTTTACGGGAAAACGTGTTCCTGCCTGTGTACCTCCGCTGATACTGAAAAAATTGCTTAATACTCCCAAAACATATTTTAGTCCATCTGTCCGTCCGTCCTCCAGCCGTGAGCAACGCTAGCTGCTAAACTGTAAGTGGGATTTTCACCAAAACGGATATTTCCTAATTGATCTGCCTTATGTGGCGTCCCCTTGAATTTGAAGCGAATATTTTAATTTTGGAACTATTTTACATGAAACCTCAAGGGCATTTCAATTTTTACTCAAAACTTTGGTCAAAGTTTTTGTATCTACTTTTTTATTATGTGGAGCAAAGTGCATGTATAAAAGTGGAGCAGGTTCGATTTTTATTCACTTTTCTAAATTTTCGAAAATTGCAAAATTTTAAATTTTTTATTGTCTTTTTATTGTTACAATATTGATCATACGGTTCTTCAAAAGTAGATCTTCAAGGATTTACTCATATTTTTTAAAATATGAGTAATTTTTGTGCAGTTGTGCGTGAAATTCAGGCAATTAAATATATATAATATTATATATAATATTTGAATACTACATTTTTTATTTGCTCACCTTACTTCCGAGGAAGAGAAAGTTCCCTAAATTTTAAATTATTTTCTGAACCACTCTCAAATTTTTTCGTCATATGGATCAAAGGACGGTAAGAAAGTGAAGCAGTTCTCCTAGGCGGCAAGCTTTGTATTTTCGAAAATTGCAAACATTTACTATTGCAAAAGTACTATATTGAATATGATATTTATTTTTTAAGTAAATTCTGTTCGAAAACAATCAGGAGAAAAATTGTAGATTTGAGTAATTTTCAATTAAAGTTATAGCTATTTATAAAAAAAATATTTTTACAAAAAATGGCTCAGATTTTTTCTTTACTTTTTCGACGGATAGAGCAATGTGAGATTAAAATATGGCTCAGATTTCATTGTTTTCAACTCTACAGTTTTTGAAAATTGCAAAATTTAGAAATAATGCAAGAAAATATGTGCTGTTGTTATACTATTAGTTCCTTGGCTTAACTGAATTTTTAATGCCTTTTTCATACGTCAAAATTGTTTGTGCCTAAACATTCTATGTCTAATTATTTGTGTAATATTTCAGATTGTATTGTACTGGTCTGAAGTTCAAGACGATTGTTCTCACGAAATGTTGAAAAAATCTTACTTTCTATTAATATAAAAGTAATTGAACCAAATTTTGTATGTACATTGTAAATGCTGTTGCCTAAGTGTCGATACCATTTCAGAATTTCATCAGTTTTGCCTTCTGACAAAAGCAACAAATTGTTTTCGTAGATAATACGAGTTATACCTAATACGAGTTTGTAGGGCGAAGCGACCAGATGATTTTGAATGGATGAGAATACATTATCACACTTTCATCACAAGTTGTTCTACTAAAAAAGGATTAATTTCGAGAGGTGTTTGAAAAGGCGCGCGCATTATATCGTGATGTATCGACCCAACCTAACCGCAGACTTCAACGCTCTCTCTTGACAGAATACTGCGAGTCCTCTGCACGTGTAGTATTCTAACAATTCGATAGGTAGCGCGGGCTGCCGGCCTCTTGGCCATGAAGGTCTTCGGTGATGATCGAACACGTTATTTTGTCGGAGGATATGTTTCTATTTGATATTAATATCTGGAAAGAAAATAGGATTGTGATTTTAAAATAAATATCCTTCTAAAATTTCATATACTTATTTTTATGCATAATAACGCTGTTTACAATTTTTGTATGTTCGGGCTAATCTTTGAAACGGCCAATTCGATTTCGTTGCGCTATTCATTGAAAGGTAGAGTATTTTATCAGGCTTAGGCTACTTTAAAAAAACAATTATTTTCTGTTATACTATAAAGAAAAGGGGTTGAATTGATTTATTTAGTCAAATAAATTTGATTTGATTGGTTGTTTCTTCATTCAAATCTACAGTTTGAATCCGATCTTTAGAAAATTCTGTATACGTATTCTACAAAAGAAGAGATAAAAAAAGAATAGTCCTGAACATATTTTCTACCCCGTAGAGTAAATATTGCTGTGCGCCTTTTCAGTTTTTGACGAATGTTTTGAAAGGGGTGAGACAAAGTATATTTACCGATTCTTGAACCCCGTACTAAATGCTTTTATCGTTCTTTCCAGTAGCGGTATTCAGCATCGAATAATTGGAGGTCAACACTGACACTGGAAATCTGAGGGGAGTGTGGAATATTGGATCTGTTTACAGCTACTCTTAACAACGAGTAGTGAAGATGGCAATGTAGGACGGGCAGAGGCTGGGCAAGACGGAAAAAGGTCATGGGGAAGCAGCAGATAAGGATTGGACAATGCGGAATAGAGCAGGGATAGGCAATGTAAAAAGAATTAATTTATTTTCCTATTATAGATTTGTATAAATAAATACCCAGATAATGGGGTACAACAAGTTGAATTAATATCATCATAATATTTTTTTTTCACTCCGTACTACGTACTTGCGTAATAAAGTAAAAGTATTGTAAAACTGCAGCAAACGTCACTGATTTTTCAACAGAAAAATTCGTGATGTAGGGATGTCGTATAAAATATTTAAATAAGGTCACGTAACCAATATTAATGATAGATTTTTTCCTTACTGAATAAAGTGCTGACTAAGAATCTATTTTTATATCCATCCACTTATTCAAAGTATCCCAAATATACTCAATATAACCTCTCTGAGATAACTCAATATAGCCTCCCTCCAATTCTCAAAACCCCAACCAAAAACGAATTCTTGTATCACACTTTCCTAAATAAGTTCTCAGATCTCGATCCAAAGTAGAGTTATTATGAAGTGATACCTCTACCACGCTAATAGTAAGATTATTGCAAGTTAACTTTAAGTAGATTTAAACAATCAATACAAATGTAGTGTTTATACATTGACTTTTGAATTGTACAATCTAAAAGAAAATAAATAAACAAAAAGAACAATGCAAGTATAAGAAAGTATTGTAATGCTGCGGGGGTAAAATTGCGATTTTTCGATTAGTCGAATGTTGGGTTTCTTTGATTTTTACTTACTACATACGTAGTGTAAAGAAATTTATGTAATGCTGCCGCAAAATAAAGAGATTTTTGACAGAAAAATTCCTAATGTTGATCTCTGATACCAAAAATGTGGATAATTTTTGTTCCTAACTGTAGTAAATGACTTTCTGCGACACGTAGTGTACACACAATCAACGTTTTGTCGGTCCTTGATAACAAAAAATTGGATTACGCAAAACGTTTCTGATCATCTATCTGTGGACAACAATAGCCGATAAAACATAGGCAAGATTTTCATCAAAATGTATTATCTCCGAGCGATCTGGTTGATGTCGCGATCTTTTTAATTTGAAATTGACGTTTTAATTTTTGGAGGTATTTTACATGACGCATAAATAATATATTGAAATTTTGTTTGAAAAATGGGTCCAATGTTTGATTACAAAAGATTTACATTTTTCGAATGATTTTCATTGAAGTTTTTCGAAAACTCTCAACTTGTCGGTAAAAAAGGCTTCAAAACTACGCATTTTCAGAAATCCTCAAACGACATTTTCTCAAGAGCGGCTGCACATTTTTCAAAGAGAATATGCTTTTACTCTTCTATAAAATTCTTCAAGACATTTCAATTCTACTCTTATGGGAGCGGAAATTGAGAAAATGTGGAAAAATTGTTTTGGTGCTGATACGTAGCAGCTAGGAAGAGGTTTGAGCAATACAGAATAGCCTGCCCAGAATAAAGAGCTTAGAAAACTGAACAGTGCAAGGAAGTCTGTGCCATTCTCTAGCATTACTAGTTAGACGTGAACCATTACAATAAATTCTATATAAATACAAGTAAAAATAACATTAAAAATAATAACATAATAAATATCTGCAATTGACTGAATAACATAACTGAACTTCTGAAATTACATCGCACAAACTAATTGTAGTAAAGTTTCTGTAGTGCAGTACAACATGGGCTCTATTGTGACGTCATGGATACTCACAGCGACCACAGACACAGAGCTTTCATATAACAAATATATT